GAGTTTTAGTGTTTGATTTATATCAATTGGGTATTTTTTACTTTAATTGTGAGATCAGAACTTGAATATAACATAGAAAACTCTACTCTGTGTCCTCTCAGTATAAAGATTGTTGGAAATGATAGAGAAAACATTGGAGACTAATAACAACACCGCAGGTTAAAAATAGAAGAGATTGACAGAAATGAGGTTATAACCAGAAACATAGTTTGTCATCTTCATTTCTGCAGTCATTGTGAACTCAAGGGTTAGTGAAGAAGCTGTAATGAGGTTGTGTACACCTTGGAGATTCAGTCAATAGTTGGATTTAAAAAGTTTTTGAAAGGTTAGTTTGGTCCCTGATTGGTCTTTTTGGGTTAGTCAGAACCTTCGCAAATTAGTTGTATCGATGTTGCATTTGTTCCTGCCTATTAACATCTTTAAAAATACTATCTTATGGTTTCTTTCTAACAGAGCAAGACCATAATTGATTTTTCCATAATCTTTCTAGCACTTCACCTCTTAGATTACAAATGTCAATGATTATCAATTGGGTTTCCTCTCAAATAATGGTTTTTTTTTCTCTCAAACAACATTGTTGTATTCTACCGTATCAATCATTTGACTTGCTCTATTAAAACTGTCTTTCTTTTGGATAAATGGCTGAAATTATGTCTTTCACTAATGCACTTTCACTCAATCATGCCGGAGGTGTAGTGTTAAGGTGAGCTTTTGAAAGGATTCAAGGATACAACTTCCCTTCTGGTTCGACAACTCTACTTCTTTGTGAAATCTATCTATCATTGCACTAATTTGTTTAGTATGACACTTCACTATTCAGGTTATGGGAAAAGCGTAATTAGCATAAGTAACCAAGGGTTGAAGCTCCTTCCTGTGAAGGTTTGGCTTGAAGATAACGAGTTTAGCAAATATATTCAAATATGTATGATGCTACCTTTTTCTTCACCATCTACCATTCTGTATGTTTTCATGTTTTTATGCAAGTATTTTTAGGTGTTTGATTTGCTAGCCACTGGGATATCTCACTTAAGCTTTGTTATGTTGTATACTTGAGTTTGGTTACTCCTTGGCAAAGGTGAAACTGGAGAAGTTGGATGATGCCACACAAAGGTCCCCATCCATATGCTAATCAGAGAATCACCATGGTGATCATCAGCCAAGTGTCGGCTCTATAAACATGAGATTTGTTATTCTAAGGCCATTTCCCTATTTCGGCAGATATATATACATACATAGTTGGGATCCACTACTAATGTTTTTGTTCTGATTCTTAGGCGTGATCAAAAATATCTTCCCTGCCTGATTTAGTTAATGGTTTGTTCTCTTCTCTACAGATAGCTATGGAAATCTCACAGTGTGGTTTGTAGCTAGAGGATGTTTCTTTGTAGCTAGAAGATGTTTCTTTGGTAGTGTCTTATAGATATCAATTATATATGTCACCCAAAATGCATTTCTTCCTTGCCTTTATAGGTTTGGGGAAACTCTTTTGCTAAGGTTTAGCTGGGGTGCACTACCATGTTGGCTCTCTTTCTCTCTAGATAGCAGTCGAAATCTCAGCCTGTAGTTTATAGCTCAAGGATGCATCCTTTGTAAAGTTGGTAGATAATAAGCTACGTCACCCAAAAATGCTTTTCTTTCTTGCTTTTATAGGTTTGAGGAAGTCTTTTGTAAACAATTTGCTTTTAGTTTGTGATACAAAATTATGTAATGGGCCTATAGATATCGCTGTTGTTTTTTTGGACAACTGCTATTTACAACATTTGTAAATTTTTTCCTTTCCTATGATTCAACCATGCATATTTCTTCCTAAGTTGGCTGAAAGGGAAACAATGGTCATCTCTCTAAAAAACGGTAGAAATGTATTGTATAACAAAAATTGAGCCACTGCAAAGCGCGGGCCATATAACTAGTTATTACTAAAATGGCAAGATAGAACCATATTCTTAGTTAAGTGTTATACCTCCTCCAATTCTTATACTTTAATGGTACCCGAGGTATTTTATTCATTAATTCATCTCAAGATAGAACGGACTTACTTTAATGGTGCACATCTATTTCACACGCCAATAAACGACGAATGCAATTAGGTTAAATCCAAAAGAAAGACTAAATCAAACTATGTTAAGTCCACAAAAACCTAGGTTGAATTGACAAAGCTTGGCCTCCCTCATTTTGATCAAGCATGCATACACTTCTCATTTGGGGTAAGAAAACTGATATTGGCTTTACATATGAACCCAAAAGTCACATTTTATATCATTGATTATGATGTTTATGGATAAGCATTGAAGTTTAGTAATCAACTATTGGGTTTTCGAACTACATGATACCTAAATTGCTGTCGTAGCAAAAGCCGTCCAACGTGGACTCAGTAGTGGAGAAGGTACTTACTTATAGTTGCAGATGATCAAACCGCACTCGCCCTTTTCGCTCTCTTATCTTGTCGCTCTTTTGATTCCGTTGGTAGGCTGAGCTCTTTGCGCAAAAGTCCGAAGCCATGGTGGTAGGTGAAAGAGGATAAGGCTTAGGATGCAGATCGATGCAACCCGCCGATCGTTTCCTAATCACCACCAACCCCCTCTTTTGTTCCTTTCTCTTCCCGGGCATTCCATCGCACGTAGCTTCACAGAAGGAATCATGCCCAAATTCCAAGCGAGATTGGAAGAGTTAGGTTGAAAATAAGAGGGATTATGGTTTTCTCAAATTTGAAACGTATATAAAATTTGTAATAAGTTTAGGATATATAGTAGTTAATTGGTAAGAATTTAGTTCTATGAAATGCAAATGTATGTAAAATTTGTAACAAATTTAGAAGATAGGGTAGTCGGTAAAAGTTTAGCCCCTTCAACTATCATAATTAAACTTAAAGTTAGCCCCCCCCCCCCCCCCCCCCCCCCCCCCCAATCCCTACTCCTACACTACTTTTGGGCCAATCATTTTCAATTGTTTTAGGTGGGTTTGGATAGATGTAATACTTTTGAAATACATATAATTCAAATTCATTATTTGCATGTCCATTTGTAATTTGTTAGTATTTTAGATAAGATGATTTTTTAAAATTTTAAATTTTCCGATCATATAATTTGGTATCCAAAATCATTTTTTTATACAATTTAATACGTAACCTTTAATTTTTTAACAAATAGGTCCAAACTTTTTGTGGTAAAATTAAATTTAGTACTTTTATATATTTTCAAGAGAGTACTTATCCATTTAAAATTTTACAAATAGGTCCAATATATTACCATGAAGAGTTTCAAATCACTAGTTGTTGATATATATTTGAAATTCACAAATAGTACACATTTATTTGAAAATCACCTCATGAATTTGATAAAAATCCAAATACCGTATATAGTTAATATATGAACAAATGATTTAGCTTTTGAAAATTCAAATACCAAATACCAAATCCAAATCTATCTACCCAATTACACCCTTAGTATAATTGAGATCGGTACAGTGTTGCTCAAATTAAAAAGATTCTTACGTGTATGCTCAAATTAAAAACATTGTTATCGGTAAAAGATGAAAAGTCCAATTCCTCTTATTTGTTGACTCGCAATTTTTTATGTACAAAACTGCAGTGTTGTATTTGAACGCCTCCGTTATTGCAACCAACAATCAGTTCGTTCTTCGGTTGCCCACCGGTAAGGAATTCGTCGCCGAGGTTTAGGTCACCACCTCAGCAAGATGTGGCTATTTCTCAAAAGTACAAAAACTCAAACAATTAAGAGGTTGAAAACGTCTATAGGTTGTGGACGTCTTTTTAAAAGAAAAACGACCCATAGTCCACGTAGCTATGTTACCGGTTCACAATGAATTTTTATGGCCAAGTTGTGTAGATCTTACAACATGCCCACGTTGTACTAGGTAGCAATGCGCACGATAACATCCATTATAAGCCCATATTTATAGGTAAACCAATGTGTGTGGCTGTGTGTCCGATCAGTGGTGGAGCTACCTTATAGCGGGCTAGTGTTCGTTCTCAACTCTCAAAATTGTGTAAATTTAGGTGTAAAATTTGTAACAATTTTGAAAAGTAGATTAGGTGATAAGGCTTTAGTCTCTCTCCTCGGTTCAAACCCTATTGAACGTAAAATTTTAACCCCACTTGTTCAGATTTTTTGCTCCGCCACTGTGCCCGAGTATCTACATAATAAAGGTCATGGTTTATTTATGGGTTTGCATTGTATTTTATCAATGTACCGCACTGTTAGAAATGAAAATATTTTAAAGGTATAAATGCAGTCTCAATTTATCACATTTGTGAGTAAATCATTGCAAAAAATACATAAGAAGATATTTTTTTATAGAGAATTATTTTTTTTTGAGTGACTGCTTTTGTAGGAGAGAGATTTATATGACCTTGAGAAAAACTAAACTAATCACTAATTCGAAAAGTTACTAATGAACCAACTAATAAACAATCATGCTTCATTTTTGTCTCTATGCTACAATACAACGAGAAGTAAAACTCGGACATAGATTGATTGTTTTACGTTGTTTTGATGATTACATATGTAATGTAAGTTGATATTTTATCAATATTTTTGTTGAATATATTCTGAAGTTGAGCTAATAATCCACCGCCGGGCATTTTCATCATTTTTTTTTAACTTGTAGCCTTTTGTTTCACGCCACAGCTCGCTGTGATCACCGACCTTTTGTTTCACGCCACAGCTCGCTGTGATCGCCGAACAGATGGACTGTGGTCTTTGAATAACCCTGTGATTCTTGTCTCAACAAACACACAAACCAGGAATTTCCAAGGCACTCACCCAGCCTCAGGATCCCCACCGGCCCATATATTTTTTTTTTTTATAATTCAACAATGGTGGTGGTGCCAAACCACAACTACCGTGGGAAAAGAAGTTGGTGGTGAGCAGCAACAGGGTAGTTATCCAGTCAGTCGTTTTGGGTGCTATGACATTATTCCACTCTTGACCAACTACCCCATCTTTGCCTATATAAAGCTTTTGCCCCAAAGTCGTGAAATTCCAGCAACTTCAGTTGCACCAAAACCAAACCCCAAAAAACAGGGCTCTCCTACTTTCCCTCTGTTCATAACAAAACCAGAGGTTCAATCACCTCTTCTCTTCCTAAAGACTTCCTTCCCTTTTTGGCTTCTCAGGTAACCTGTCCAATGCAAGCTTTTTTCTTGCCACATGGGAAAATATTGGTACTTTAAAATAATACACTTGACACATCCTTACTACTTTCTTCTCCAGGATGTTGGCGCAGATTCTTGCGGTGCTGTTGATCGGGTTGCTGGCATGGGCTTTAAACAAGTCCCTGCGCCCGCCGCCTCCCAAGATTTGCGGAACCCCCGGCGGGCCGCCGGTGACCGCAACTCGGATGAAGCTGAGGGACGGCAGGCACCTCGCTTACCAGGAAAATGGCGTCCCCAAAGAGGAAGCCGAGCACAAGATCGTTTTCGTCCACGGGTTCACCTCTAACCGCCTCGACCCGATGATCGTCACCAATCTTTCCCCGGTTGGTTTCATGCTGTTTATAACAAGGGATTCAAATTAAGCTTTTTAATGATGATGGGTGAATGTGAATTTCATCAATTCTGCTTTGTTTTCAAATTTTCAGGAAGCTGTCAGAGAGCTGGGGGTTTACGTTGTGACCTTTGATCGCCCGGGTTACGGAGAGAGCGACCCGGATCCGAACCGGACTCCCAAGAGCTTGGCTCTGGATATTGAAGAGCTTGCCGATTACTTAGGCCTCGGATCGAAATTCTACGTGGTGGGTAAATCCATGGGCGGCCAAGTTGTTTGGGGCTGCCTTAAGTACATCCCTCACAGGTAATTTCAGTAGAAGAATTAAAAAATCACCCAAAGAAGAAAAAAAAATCATTCTTTTTTTGCTGGGAGATTACTCTGTTTTTATGAGTCATGACTCTGTTTTTTTTAAATCTCAAATTGTGGGGTTGTTCAGGCTAGCAGGAGCAGCGCTAGTCGCCCCTGTGATCAACTACTGGTGGCCGAGCTTCCCTGCAAAGCTAGCTAATGAAGCTTACAAGCTTCAGCTTCCTCAGGACCAATGGGCACTGCGAATTGCCCATTATGCACCCTGGCTAACCTACTGGTGGAACACACAGAAACTGTTCCCTTCATCTGCCGTCATCGCCAGGAGACCTGAGACTCTCTCCCGTCAGGATCTCGAACTCGTTTCTAGATACGGAGAAGGCCGATATCTCAAGGTAGTTTCAATTTTTATAATTCCTTTTCAAATTTCAGTTCTGGGATTTGGAGGAATTCTCATCCCCTGTTTTTTCCCCTGTTTCTGAGACTCTGTTTTTTTTTTTTTTTTTTTTTTGGCTTTTTTCAGGAAGTGGCGACCCAACAGGGAGCGTACGAGTCACTGCACAGGGACATGAAGATCGGGTTCGGGAAATGGGAATTCGACCCAATGGCGATGGAGAATCCGTTGCCCAACGACGAAGGGAAAGTTCATCTGTGGCAAGGGGATGAGGACAAGAAAGTGCCGGTGGATTTGCAGCGTTTCATTGCTAAGAAGCTGCCATGGATTCAGTACCACGAGCTGCCAGGTGCCGGGCACACCTTGCATTACGTTCCTGGAATGATCGAGGGAGTTCTCAGAGCTCTGTTGGTTGGGGAAGAAGGCAAGTAGCAAGAGACTCGTTCGTATGGTGGATTGTGTCAGCAAATTAAAATAGATGAATTTCTGATCTTTGGTCGTCGGAGAATTGAAGAAGCATATAGTGATGTATCATATGGGACTTTAAAGATCGGTCAAGTAAAGATGTAATTTGGTGGTTGGTCGGTATATTTTGCTTTTAAGTGATAAATGTAACTAAATTAACTCTTTAAAAAAACAAATTATAAAATACTATTTTATAGAGTCACATCACAAGCAGTGAATCTTTTGTAATTAGCCATAGTTTGGAAGAGTTTTTGTGCTATTAAGGTCGTTTGCTTCATGGATTTGAAATATGAGGGTTTTGGTAAAACCTGAGTTTTGAAAAACCATGGATATATGATGGATTTGGTGGCATCATGGATTTGAACAAGTCTATTGTTTGCTTGTTGGATTTGATAATGGATTTTATTTGATTAGATTTGTGGATATGAAACACAAATTACCTTGTTACCCTTATGTAATTATATTTTCATTAAAAACAAATCTAATGATACAAAGTAACCGAACTTCTATTTTGTGAATTCATTCAATTACAAATATAGAAATGCATAATAGTTTGGACATGACACTACTCCCTAATTTTTGGATCTAATTGTCGATCTAGCAATAATGCACAAGATGAGCAAAAAGTGTTAGAAATATCAATAGAGGAGTAAATAGAAGACTCAGTAGACGAAGATGTGAAATTCAACCACAATTGAAAATGTCCCGATTTTTTGGTCAAACTCGAGCACCACGCTTAATCAAAAATTTCATCCCGAAATTCACATTTTATGCGAGAAATTAATGTTAAACAAGCCCAAAAAAAAAAAAAGAGACAAGGAGAAACAAACGTGAGAGTCCTTTATCATTCATTGCTCTATATGAAAAACTGAGGATGGAGAGTTCGAGGCCCCCACCGGAGAAGAAGGAAGGGTAGATTAGTCATTAGGTAAAATAAGTAGGGATAAACTAATAAAATGCCATCATGGATTTAAATCCATCACCCAATTCCCACCTCCATAGGTGGAACTTCCAAAGTCCGTGGGGTCCACAGATTTGGACCTCCAAACTCTGTGGGCCCCACAGATTTACTCCCTCAAATTCCATCAAGCAAACAATAGACTTTTGTTAAAGTCCATGATAAATGCAAGTCCATCACCAAATCCATCAACAAAACCTTGAAGCAAACGACCCGTAAAGTTATAATAAATTAGCTTATTACAATTGAGCCCAAATTAATGGATATTTGATCTAAATTGACCCCTTTAAAAATCGAAGCGTCATTATTCGCCCATAATGATTAATACATTTTTCTTTCCCAAATTATCTTTTCATTATTTTTCCCTTCGCATATCGCTCTTGTTTACAGTCGTTTACCTGTTTTCTTCGTGGTGTCGGGCTTGCAAATTATTTTGGTTTTTATGCAGGGTTCTATGCTCACCCATTTTATTATTTTGCCTCCGTGTTGGTAACTTTTTCCTTATCTTAATGATCTTTCCTTCACTTATTAATCACGCTTACGATCGTTGTACCGTTTTTTCCTTTTTTGTGTCGGGCTTGAAGATGGGTTTTGTCAATGTTGTCAGAACCGAACCGTCGTATGAACCGGTATGGTAAGCTATTCACATTTTATTGGTTTAACCGTTATCAAGCCCCGTTATCGAACCGGTGTCTAAGAAATAGAATTATTATAAGTAGAAACCATTAATTGTATAATAATTAAATAATTATTCTAATATATTCAAACAAAAAATTATATATGACAAGTAAAGTTTATTATTGTACAAAAATATAAATTATTTAAGTATAATACGGGTGATTTTTAATAGTTATGAACACTATTTAATGATTAAATGAACATTGTGAGATCATTTAATAATAAAACTTGTAGCTTTTGGTACACAAACTAGTTGAAGCGGTTCGAATGGTTCGTCGGTTTAACCGGTAAGTTCGCTTGCAAAGGGGATGTTCCAATCGTGGCGGCTAAAGAGCCTGATTGGACTGGATTACACTGGTTTTTTGCAAGTTTTAAGGTTGGTTGGTTTTTATCCCGGTCTTGCAAATCAGTGGTTGGATTTGTTTTGTGTAGCTGATTGAAGTTGTTTCATCGCCTTTTCTCTATTGTGTCGGGGTTACAAATAGTTTTTTATTTTTTATACCTGATTTTATGATCTATTGTTTGACTATAATTTTCCTCGCCGAATTTTATCTTAGATTTGTTTTGTGTAGCCGCTTGGAGTCGTTTCATCGCCTGTTCTCTGTTGTGTCGGGATTGCAAATGGTTTTTGGTTTATTTTTTATGCCGAATTTTATGATATATTGTGTTTGACTATTTTTTCCTGCCAAATTTTATGATCTATTGTGTTTGACTACTTTCGTTTTGCTTTCATGGTAGGTACCTTTTTGTTATCCTAACGATCTATTAATTTTTTTACTTTTTGTTCGCCTAACATGTGACCCTTCGTAATTAACCATAAGTTCAGTTTATATTTTATTTTTTCTAATTCTTTTATTCTATATGTCCAAATTAAAGGTTGTCAAATCGCGGTGTTGACGAGTTTGTGTCGACAACGAGTTGTACATGTTTTTCTAATTTACGGGATTGAGCCAGCTGTGGATTTTGTTGAGCGTGGCGGACTTGATGTTGAATAGTTTTGCTGCGGAACCGGTTTTTAGATGCTTTTCTAATTCGACCTGGTCAAAGTGAGTTTAACCGGGTGTGACCGGGAATGAATTTATCCGCTTTTATAATAAAAGAACTGGGTCCAGTGTGGATTTTGTTAAGAATTCCCCGCCCTTTATCAAACCTGTAAAAGCGAGTTCAATCCAGTGTTGACGAATTTAGAACCAGGGACGAGTTTTACCTGCTTTTGTATTTAATGGATTGGGCACCTAATTCGACCCGGTCAAAGTGAGTTTAACCCGGTGTTGACGAATTTTGTGTTGAGAACGAATTTGACCCACTTTTGTAATAAACGAATTGGGTCGAGTGTGGATTTTGTTAAAAGAGGTAGATCGGAGCAACTCCCGTCTTCTTCTTCAGAAGGGCAGGGTCCATTGAAACGGAGGGATAGGTTCCATCCAGTGGGTGACCATTTCGTAACTAAAGGAATCTTTGATTGTCTTTTTGTTTTTTTTTTGTTGCTTTTCCTTCCTTCCCTATTCCCAGTCACACGAAGCCTCTCTCTCTCTTTCTCCTCTTTCATCTTTCTCTTTTATTTCTATCACTCACCCAACCCTCCCAGTCACTTGAAGAAGAAAGGAAAAAATTGTTGTGCCCTCCTCATGTGGTAGAGAAGAGGCCAACAAGGTTGGCGGTGGAAACTGATAAAAAAAAAAAAAAACTTAAATTGAGGGAGGAGATGACGGTTGGCAATCCAACCACTAGCATTAATCCCCTCTTCCTTGCTAGCCTATAAAAGGCAGAGGCAGTAGCCTCAAAAAATCATCCCTCACCATTCCATTTTTCCATGTTCATCATTCTTCTTTGCTAGCTCTCTGTTCGTATTTCTTGTGGGTTTTGGTATTGAAACGTTTTCACTACCACGGGTAGATAGGAGAATTCTTGTGAGTGAAATAGTGAGGTTGTTTCGGGAAACACCGAGTGTTCTATTTCCTTGTATCTTGAAATTCTCTGTAACCTACTGTTGCAATAGTGAAGAAATACTCTGGAGCTGTTGTTCCCGTGGACTGGCCCTAAATCAGGGTATACCACGTAAATCCTCTGTGCCAATTATTATTGTCTATGCTTGTTGTCATTTTGAGAATAGTCGTAGTATATTGCGTTATTAAATTACCGAAGTAAATTGATCTAAGTAAGTTGGTTACCGTAATTCTGGAGGCTCTGCCACCAGGTCCAACTTACCTGTGAACTTTTTACAAGCGTGTGATTTTTTAATCCAATATATTTATCCGCTATTCTCACCCGCTGCGCCCAACAAGTGGTATCAGAGCCACGTCCAATGGAGGCAAAAACAAGCAAGATGATAAGTCTGAATGGCTCCAACTATCACATATGGAGAAACAAGATGAAGGATCTCCTACTCGTGATGGAGTTGCATTTGCCGGTGTTTAGCACAACTAAACCTGATGGCAAAACTAAAGAGGAATGGGAGTTCAAGCATGAGCAAGTATGTGGCTACATTCGACAGTTCGTCGACGATAATGTATATAGCCACATTAGCGGAGAAACTCATGCCAGAACTCTGTGGAACAAGCTGGAGGCACTTTATGCATCAAAGACCGGCAACAACAAATTATTTTATCTGACCAAGTTGGTCCAGATGAAATACAAGGAAGGCAAATCCTTGGCGGATCACTTGAACGAAATTCAAGGGATCGTGGATCAGTTGTCCGGTATGGGCATAAAGATGGAAGATGAGGTGGTCGCTCTCCTCGTTCTGGCTTCCCTTCCAGAATCTTGGGAGACGCTAAAAATTTCACTTACCAACTCTCCGAAAGATGGAGTTATAAACATGGAGATTGTCAAAAGCGGAGTCCTGAACGAAGAGATGCGAAAAAGATCACAAGGTGCATCCTCATCATCTTCCCAGTCAGACCTTCTGACAGTGGATTCCAGAAGCAGAGGAAGAAGTGAAGCGAGAGGCTCAAAGCAAAGAGGCAAGGGTCGAGGGAAGTCCAACAAGTTTGCCAACATCCAATGTCATCACTGCAAGGAAAAGGGCCACATCAGAAGATTTTGCCCAAAGTTCAGAAATGAGAGAAAGAAGGGCAAACGAGATGAGAACAGTGATGATGATGGTGCAAACTCTGTAGATGAGTTCAATATTGTCTACGAGGAAGATGTTGTCAACCTGACAACCCAGGAGACAAGCTGGGTGGTTGATAGTGGTGCTACCATCCACGTGACGTCCAAGAGAGAATTTTTCTCATCTTACACACCAGGTGACTTTGGTGTGGTAAGAATGGGAAATGGTAATCTTTCCAAAGTTATCGGAAAAGGAGAAGCCTGCTTGGAGACGATGAATGGTACAAAGCTACTGCTGAAGGATGTCAGGCATGTTCCAGAAATGCGCCTGAATCTCATCTCTGTAGACAAGTTGGATGAGGAAGGTTACTGCAACACCTTCCACAATGGCCAGTGGAAACTCACCAGAGGCTCCTTGGTGTTGGCCAAGGGCAAGAAGCTGTCAAAGCTGTATGTGACGGAAGCCAAGATCTCCCCAGAGATTGTCAACTCAGCGGAGAATGGTGACACAATTGAATTGTGGCACAAACGGCTCGGTCACATGAGTGAGAAGTCCATGGCAAAGTTGGCCCAGAATAAAGTCATAATTGGGTTGGATCATGTTCATCTAAAGAAGTGTGTCGATTGCCTTGCGGGAAAGCAAAACCGAGTTGCTTTCAAAAGTTCCATCCCTTCAAGAGCGAAGAACGTGTTGGATCTAGTTCACTCAGATCTCTGTGAACCCGATGTCAACGTCAAATCACTTGGAGGTGCCAGATATTTCGTGACATTCATTGATGACCATTCACAGAAGACTTGGGTGTATACCTTGAAGACCAAGGATCAGGCCCTAGACGTTTTCAAGCAATTCCTGGCCCTGGTGGAGAGGGAGACTCGCAAGAAGCTCAAGTGCATCCGGACTGACAATGGTGGAGAGTACAGAGGTCCGTTTGCTACCTTCTGCAAGGAACATGGAATTCGGCAGCAATTCACACCACCAAAGACGCCGCAATTGAATGGGCTAGCTGAGAGGATGAACAGGACCTTGCTAGAGAGAGTCAGGTGCTTGTTATCACACTCGAAGCTACCACAATCTTTCTGGGGGGAGGCACTGCTTGCAGCAGTTTACGTGTGGAACAGGTCACCCAGTGTGCCACTGAAGTATGACACCCCAGAGAAGGTGTGGACAGGAAAAGAAGTTTCCTACAAACATTTGCGGGTGTTTGGTTGCAAGGCCTTTGTCCATATTCCAAAGGATGAAAGGTCAAAGTTGGATTCAAAGACGCGACCGTGCGTATTCATTGGCTATGGTCAAAATGAGTTTGGCTATAGATTCTTTGATCCAATCCAGAAGAAGCTTATCAGAAGCCGTGATGCTGTGTTCATCGAAAATGAGACCATCGAATATGTTGTTGCTAGGAAAGAAGTTCCTAATACTGATGCTAGTCAACCAAGCCTTGGGCTAGTACCTCCAACGCTGGCGCTTACAGAAGTTGGAGAAGAAGCACAACATGATCAGCCTGAGATAGTTGAACAAGATGCTCCTGTGGAGTTTCAACCAGAAGATGCTGATGACGATGGTCAACCACCAGCCATTGAGGGTTCTCCTGTTCAAATGACGAGATTTGGTAGGGTCACACGACGCTCTACCAGATATCCTGAGACTGAATACATGTCACTTACTGACGGCGGAGAACCAGAAAGTTTCACAGAAGCTATGAATGATGAACACAAGAAAAGGTGGATAGAAGCCATGCAAGACGAGATGGATTCCTTGTATGAGAACAAGACATTTGAGCTGGTGAAATTGCCCAAAGGCAAGAGAGCTTTGAAGAACAAGTGGGTGTTCAAGATTAAACATGATGAACACAACCGTCAGCCACGCTTCAAAGCCAGACTAGTTGTGAAAGGCTTCAGTCAAAGGAAAGGCATTGACTTTGACGAGATATTTTCACCTGTGGTGAAGATGACATCCATTCGTACTGTGTTGGGACTAGCAGCAAGACTTAACCTGGAGGTTGAACAAATGGATGTGAAAACTGCTTTCCTTCATGGTGATTTGGAGGAAGAGATTTACATGGAGCAACCAGAAGGCTTCAAGAAGGAGAAAAAGGAGGACTATGTGTGCAGGCTCCGTAAGAGCTTGTATGGCTTGAAGCAGACACCAAGACAGTGGTATAAGAAGTTTGAGTCTGTTATGGGGGAGCAAGGCTACATGAAGACTACTTCAGACCACTGCGTGTTCGTGAAGAAATTTCCTGATGGAGATTTCATCATACTTTTGCTCTATGTGGATGATATGCTAATTGCTGGGCAAAACGTCTCAAAGATCAATGATTTGAAGAAGGAGTTGAGCAAGTCTTTTGCCATGAAAGACTTGGGACCAGCAAAGCAGATTCTTGGCGTGAGGATCATTCGGGATCGAGGTGCCAAGAAGATATGGTTGTCACAAGAAAAGTACATTGAGAAAGTACTTCAACGTTTCAACATGGATAATGCTAAGGCGGTTAGCTGTCCTCTTGCTAACCACTTTACATTGACATCCAAACAGAGCCCGTCTACAGAGAAGGAAAAGGCGGAGATGGATAAAATTCCATATGCTTCAGCAGTGGGAAGTTTGATGTACGCCATGGTGTGTACAAGGCCAGATATTGCTCATGCAGTTGGAGTTGTCAGTCGGTTTCTTTCCAAACCAGGAAAGGAACATTGGGAAGCTGTGAAGTGGATCCTCAGATACCTTCGAGGTAGCTCCAAAATGAGTCTATGTTTTGGAGATGGTGAACATGTCCTTGTTGGCTATACAGATGCTGACATGGCAGGTGATGTTGATTCGAGGAGGTCCACTTCTGGGTACCTGATTACCTTATCAGGGGGAGCAATATCGTGGCAGTCAAGGCTACAAAAGTGTGTAGCTCTTTCCACAACAGAAGCTGAGTATATAGCAGTAACAGAAGCATGCAAGGAGATGATATGGATGAAGAAGTTCCTAAATGAACTTGGGTTCCTACAGGAACGACCGCAGATGTTCTATGACAGTCAAAGTGCTATTCATCTTGCGAAGAATGCTTCATTTCATGCTCGATCAAAACATATTGATGTCCGATATCACTGGATCCGAGATGTGCTTGAAATGAAACAGCTACAACTGGAAAAGATCCATACTGACGAAAATGGATCTGACATGTGTACCAAGACTCTTCCAAGAGAAAAGTTTGAGTTCTGTCGATCAGCTGCAGGGATGATGAATTCGCCCATGTAGTCGGGCGGGGGAGAATTGTTGTGCCCTCCTCATGTGGTAGAGAAGAGGCCAACAAGGTTGGCGGTGGAAACTGATTAAAAAAAAAAACTTAAATTGAGGGAGGAGATGACGGTTGGCAATCCAACCACTAGCATTAATCCCCTCTTCCTTGCTAGCCTATAAAAGGCAGAGGCAGTAGCCTCAAAAAATCATCCCTCACCATTCCATTTTTCCATGTTCATCATTCTTCTTTGCTAGCTCTCTATTCGTATTTCTTGTAGGTTTTGGTATTGAAACGTTTTCACTACCACGGGTAGATAGGAGAATTCTTGTGAGTGAAATAGTGAGGTTGTTCCGGGAAACACCGAGTGTTCTATTTCCTTGTATCTTGAAATTCTCTGTAACCTACTGTTTCAATAGTGAAGAAATACTCTGGAGCTGTTGTTCCCATGGACTGGCCCTAAATCAGGGTATACCACGTAAATCCTCTGTGCCAATTATTATTGTCTATGCTTGTTGTCATTTTGAGAATAGTCGTAGTATATTGCGTTATTAAATTACCGAAGTAAATTGATCTAAGTAAGTTGGTTACCGTAATTCTGGAGGCTCTGCCACCAGGTCCAACTTACCTGTGAACTTTTTACAAGCGTGTGATTTTTTAATCCAATATATTTATCCGCTATTCTCACCCGCTGCGCCCAACAAAAATAACCCACTTCTCTCTTTAAGAAGAAGCGAGGCAGAAGATTACCTATGGGTCTGTAGGGGCGTCCCGGCAGTGACGATGACGGTGGCGAGGTGGCAGAGGTGGTTTAGGGGTGCAACGACGGTGATATCGAGCAGAGTCGGGGGTGAGAGCACAACGACGATGGCGGTGATGGAGATGGTAACAAAGCCCTATGATGACCTGGAGCTACCTCTACCTGGCGTCAACGAGATCGACGATGATGGCAGATCGATAGCAACAACGAGGCTAGTAATCTATAGAGAGATGACAGGTGTCAAATACTGGAGCGGCGGCGAGACTTTATGGATTTCGCGATTGCGTTGCTGAGGAGATATGCGGGAGGTGGAGGAGATTCAATGGGCTTTCATTTGGGAGCCATCGAGAAGAAGAAAAAAAATGTTATTCTTTGTGTTTGTTTGATTTCGGCCGACATTTTCTCTTCCTGCCTCTCTCTCTCACGGTCGATGAAGTGGAAGAAAAAAGCAATGCTCTCTCTGTTTGGTTTGTTATTCAGTTTGGTTTCACCATTCATCCTCTTAGACTCTTAGTACTCATGGAAACATATGGGTCTGAATTGATTTTGTCTTGGTGTTACATTGATTATTTGCAGCTACTACTCTCGATGTACATGCATCATACACCTATCATGAATCCAATAAGATGGAGTTGTTTCCAACATGCCCTTGGATTAGTACCAATGTAACTATCTGTATCTATATGCACAATCAACAGCTATAAACACCAGTGGACTTGCAGTGAAACTTCACATTCTATGTCACATAAACCCAAACTTGCCTTCTCCTTATTCATTTTCTTGTAGAGCATGTATCATAATCTTTTTATGTTTAGACTTGCTTATTTTGGGTGTTCTTTACTGTTTATGTAGTGTAGGTGCAAAGTATTTGATTTAGTTTAATTATATTTTAGAATGAATTGCTTATTTAACTGATTCCATACCTAATTCAACCATCCATTTGTATCCTAATGGAATTCGTTTAGCAGGAGTATTGTTGCTGATATACAGTTTTCGTATGCTGAATCGATCAAGCTATTTTAGAGGTTTCATAGATAGTCCAGCTGGCAGGGGAACTTCAAATGGCAATTACTTTTGTGATTGGAAAGGAATACCATAACCGAAATTTGGGTTAGTTTCTCATCTCTTGATGTTTATGTTCTCTCTTTAAAAACTACTCATTGGTTTGATCCTCATATCTCACTCTCAATTTGATTTCTCCCTGGCATGACTAGATTAGTTATTTTGCCTATCTGTGTGTTCTTTACTTGGCCGTTTGGTTGTTCTTTTTTTGGTGGTGATGGTTTAGGTTGTCGTTAACTAAGCAAGGCTACTAAACATGTAGATCGAGATGGAGGAATCAACTCAGAAGAAACAAACTAGGGTTGAGTTACAACGAGATCAAACGTGAACTTAAGTTTCGTCCTGCAAATTGTTATATTTTTACCTTGGTATGAACTTCTGTTGGTATCTACGACACTTGGGTTATAAATTTACTCATGTGAGAATCTTGAAAAATATTGATGACAAGGTCACATTTTCTTTTTGAAGTTAGTTGCGGATACTTTTGAGTGGAAGTTAATTTGAGCTGCAAAATCGCAGTTGCAAATTGCAATGTCATGTTTGGAGTTTCATGCTTGAGCATGGACTTTATATTGGTCATATATACATGTAATGGTGTTGTGGTTCTTGATTGAACATGATACATTTTGGCACAACTTGCTTTGATCGGAACCCTATTACATAGTGGATTATCTTCTACCTCCTTTATTAACCATTGGTGTTCACTGGATTCAATATGCAGTAGGGGGTGGCAGTCGGTCAGTTTTGGTTTAACCAAAAATCGAAAACTCGGTTATCGGTTAAACCGAGCCACCCCCTATAGTTTCCGACCACCAACCGTGAGGGAGGTCACAGTTACACGGCCAACCGACCGGTCGGTTTCGATTTTAGGATCGGTTAGCCGGCCAACCGAAAAAACCTTCCTTCTCTCCAAAAGAAACACTAAAAATTAATTAAAAAAAATCTCCACCACTCAATCGGTCAATCCTTATCTCCTTCTCTCTCCTTCCTCCACCAACCCACCAGACCACTTCTCTTCTCTCTCCCCCAATCAATTTCGTTCCCCTTCTTCTCTCCCAAAAACCTCTCTTCCAAAAATCTCTCCCAAAATTAATTCCCCTTTAGTCTTCTTCTCTCGTTCTTCTTTCTTCCAAAAATCTCTCCCAAAATTCATTCCCCTTCGGCCTACTTCTCTTTGCCAAAAAATCTTCCCAACTTTTCTTCTTCCCCTCCTCTCACCGATCTGCCTCTCTCGTTCTCTCATGGCCTCGATCGGTTTGCTAGCGGCGGGGGTGGTGGCCGGCGCGATCGAGAAGTGGGAATCGGGGAGCGGACGGCGACTTAGGAAGGAGAGCTGGGAACGGAGGCGGCGGCAGCTCGCTGTGGCGGCGACATTGGGCAGCGAGGGAAGCCGGAGGTTTCTGTGTGGTGGGGTGGTGGATTAGGCGCGGAGCGGAGACCAGTTAATTTTGGATAGCCGGTTAACGCCGGTTAATCACCGTCAGTTAGTCGGCTATGCGAAAACTCCCTCTGACTCTCTGACCACCGACCGACCTTAATAACCGTCGATTTTCGGTTAGCTACTAACCGACGGTTTTTGGTTAAAACTGGCGGTTAGCCGCGAACCGGAGACCGAATTGCCACCCTAATCTGCAACATGGTGCTGTTGGTTTTAAGCCTTCTAACTTGGTTTCTGAAGCTGTTATTGTGTGCTCTCTCTTTGCTCTTACAATCACGTATTCATTATTATTCTAAATCATTCCATTTAAATTCCATGGTTTATAACCTGTTACTCCAATTTGGTTAGGCATAGCTTCTAATGCAGCAAGTGTAAGCAACATTTATTTTTCTCTCTACTTTTTGTCTGTAGTTAGTACACTATGGGATAGGTTAGTTGTGAAAAAGATGAGGGAAACATATTTAAGCATTTTTCTACTTCTATTCTAGCTTCAGCATTGTTCTTTGTGTGTTTCATGTTTATTATGCTTTCATTTATATTGTTTCATGTAGATAAAGCTGCAGTACTACTATTAGTCAACATTTTTTCACATGTATAGCCTTCTGGTTAATGGTAGTGAACTGACATATTTGGTCCTTTTATACTGGTCAGTTATGCTCTAACAATGCTAGGATTACAGCAGTCAATTGAACTAGTGACTGAACAAGCAAACTGAATAGGGTTGGCCGGGATTCTTCTCTTCCCCGGTCAATCGAGGAGCCGACAGAGGAATATGGGAGGGTCTACCCGACCTTCTCTTCTCCCGATTTCTTGATATTGGTTGCAACTATAAGGACATTGTTTCCCTAGTTTCTTTCAAATTTGATGATTAGTGATGATTAGTGTCGATTTCTTGATATTTAGATCGATTGCTTGATTCTCATTAGTCATGCTTCTTCTGAGTTATAGGGGCCTTAGACCTCGAGAATTATAATGTTTACTTTATATGTTCAAGACATGGGTCTTTTTCACTTCTTTTCAGATGATTAGATCAATATCTTGGTGATACCGGAAATATCCTTAAGATAGTATCAACTGATTATTTGCTTTGCTTTAGAATTCTTCTACAACGTGAAACACCATTATGTTCTTGAATTGATAAGGTTCATAAATGGAACTCGATGGTAGATATGCAGTGTTATTTGTGTGTGATGGTTAACGAAACTAGGGATCATTTGTTTTTTGGTTGTTGTTATGTACATGAAGTTTTGCAGGTTATTTATGTGATAGATGGGATTATTCCCCTGGTGCAGGATGACATGAAGTTCTAGAAGAACCTGTGCATAAGTTGGAGAAGCATCGTACGGGAAGTTTTATGTAGACAATGGTGGTTAGTTAAGTGTAGAGAGAACGTTGTCGCTAAGAAGATGACAATGCATGAGTTGACTGGGAAAATAATGGCAGTGCTAGAGGTTAGGATGCTTAGTGATTGTAACTTCATAATAGAGCCAACCATGATAGTGGTCTTAGGATGAGTAAGATAGTTAGAAGACTGTTAGTGTAAAAGTCTATGGTATTCATTTCAATGTTTATGGTTGATTTAATATGTTGGAACTGAAGGCACTTTAGTGGAGACAAATGAATGGCTTTTAAGGCCTTCTATAAAATTGCTTTAGGTGCGGTCAATTTCAGCTATAATTAGGGTCATCTCCTATACTATCCAATTCTTTGCCTGGAGGAGTCTTCAGTGTCGATCTTTCAGCCACGTTATCTTAGAAACATATTTTGATAGAGTGGAGTTGGGGAATATTAATTTATGTTAAGCCCAAGTATGCTCTTTCGATAATGAGGAGACATGGTAATGATGAGGCCTAATGACGAGAGTTTGTAATAGCGAAATATGGTTCCTTGAATTCCTTAGGTATGCTTTTAGGTGCTTCTAACAAACACATGTTTATGGTATATATATTGAGTTCTCATCTCCCAGCTTTTCTTCCATATTAGATAATTAAAAAAATTGTTCTTCTTATGAGTGAACTCTTTGCTTTCTCTAACAATTATGACGCAACATTCTTTCCATTATTGTCAAAGGTAACATAGCATGGCTGTGAAACCGTTGGTCGAGTTGGCTTAGGAAGTGGGAGGTCCTGAGTTCAATCCCCAGCGGTGCCACTTATGTGTTCTTCGAGGCATCCCTGAGTGTTGGGGATGAAGTCCCCCGATATTGTGTCCTGTACAGGTACTCTCAAGGTTTAGTATACCCCATTGTCACAAAGTGGCACGTGGGGTTGAGGTTCCTAGGTTATAAAAAAAAATATTATTTCCATTATTTTTTGCTATATGCGTTTTCATCTTTATTGTTTTTACTTTTTAGTATTTTGGCTCACTTAAGTCCAAATTAATAATTCACGTCTCACACCAATGATTATAAATTTATTTATCTATACTCATAGATAAATAACAACGCTACCTGCCCCTGCCCCTGCCACGCAGCGCGGGCTTCCATACTAGTTACATAAAAATGATGTAATGTTAATGATATGACAGATTTTCAATTTTTGTTTATATTATTCATTCAACTCTTACTCTTGTTTGCTTCATAGGTTTGAAAAATGAAGATTTTCGATATAGGTTTTATAAAACAATGAATTTATGGTTGAATTGTTTCCTTATAGAGGAGAAATAAATCGTTGTTTGCTTGCTAGATTTACGATAAATTTGGTTGAGTTGAATTTGTGGGTATTGAATATAAATGAACCTTATTGCCTTCTCGATCGCCGACGTTGTTTTCGAGACCAGTTTTCAACTGTGGATTTTGTATATCAACATCGTGGCCATTTATTCCGAGGCAAACTAAGCTCGGTGAGTCTCGATCTGCGTAGATATGAGGGAAAAGAGAAGCGTCTGGAAGAGAGAGTGGTATAGAAGTTTTTTTGGATATGTTTCGCTTGTCAATTGCAAAAAAAAAAAAAACTAATTCGGTTGGTCACTGGTTGATTAGGCGTTATTCTACAGTATGAGTTCGTTTTATTTTAGTTTGGGTTAAATTTGAGTGATTGAGCAATCAAACAACCAACTCAACATCTGTATCTGTTATGTCATTAAAAAACTAACAGAATCTTACCGAAAGTTAACGGTTAGTGATCAAGCATGAAATGAGGGTTTAATTAGAGTGACCGGTAATTCTTTAAAAAGTTTTAGTGATGACGTAAAACAAACTTATAAGTCCAGTGACCAAACATTCTATTTACAAAGGTTGACAAATCGTCATCTGAAATGTTGGAATAAACTCTGGTTTAACAGTGCTAGACAAAGTTGCTAGACAAAGTCAAAACTAAGTAGTCTGACAACCTTGTTATTTACCCTATTTCTAAAAGCCAATATTATGGTGCTGGGTAAAAAGTGCGTTACCATGCCGCAGTCTCTGATTGGGCCATGTGGAGCTTAGGTGGCAGGACTGGATTCATTTAACCCGAGACCAAAGCACATGAGTATTGAGTTCAGAGTACTCACCCAACCCGCCCACTAACGGAGAACCCTTCTCTGTCCAACTCAAAGGCTTTATTCAAATTTTTTTTTTGCAAAACTGTTTTGTCTTTTTATTAATTAAATTAAACTTACAATGAATGAAAATGAAATTAGTTTGTATTTCGAAAGATTCAGAAAAAAAGAGGTCGACGACGAAACGAACCCAAATGCAGTTCCTCGATCTCTCCGACGGTCTCTCCAAAATCACTCTGTCACCATCGAAAAGCGTCGCCGCCAAATACTAGACGATACAATTGAAAGAAGCGGAGAGACGCCCTTCTTCTCCGACAGTCGCTCTAAAATCACTATGACCACTTGTTTGTGGTCGATCCCTTGGGTTAGGCATAATCTAACCTGGAGTAGCTATCATTCCCTTTTGCTGATGTCATCGCAAGTCATGGATGCTGCAATGGGAGGGTGGGTTTCATGTTTTCCATTTGTATTTCTGGGTTTAAGGAGCAGCAGGGGATTATTTGTTGTCATTGTTGTTTTGTTGGTCTCTCCTTCATAGGGAAGCCGTTTATACTGTAAGGGCCTAATGTTTAAAGGGCGGGGAAGGTAAATATTAACCCAAGTGAGACAGTTTTTCCCTCAAATCAGAGGCATGTCTGACCATTCCTAGAAGCAGAACAGAGGAGATGGTGCAAGGGAAGATCTATGGCACATTATGTTTGTGACAGATGTGGAGGAATGTATATTCCTAGGCATAATTTCTTGATATATATGGAGTCCTCGTAGAACATGATATGGATATGGATTGATGAATCTTTTTTACGGGAAGTTAGTTTGGACAGGGCAAGAACACTATGTTGACTCAGACATGGAAATACCACAAAGTTTGTTGGTATGTGCTGTGATTTTTCTCTCCGGTAGATGTGGACTCTCGGTTGTATTAAGGGATCTATCGTTCGGTACCAATTTCTAGAAATGGTGAACGGTTTGGTGTATGAGAAAGCAGATATATATTAGATTTTGGCCTCAACTGTAGTAAAATGAGACTATGTTCCTTCTTAGTCCATTGAAGTTCAGTTAACATTTAATTAAGATGGTTAGGCATTCAGTTCAAATTGTTAGCTTGGTAATGACATTTCATATTGTAGTTTTCTTTTCTTGAACAACTGCTGAGATTCTTGTTTATTCTTGAGGTTTGTTTGAAATAGAAAGGTTAGACGACAAGTTTGACACACCACCTGCATCTTGAATGGAAGGTATGCCTCTCTACACATTATATTAAGATTACATTTTTATGTATTTATAGTGAATGTAGTAATAAGTTAATTGTGCTGGCAACCTGAATGAATCACTTTGTGATGTGACTTTTGAGAAGACAATTGTTATGATCTACAATATCTACCTTCAATGCTAATAAACGGCTTTGATAACTCTTCCAATACTGATACTAACAAGATAAAGTAATCATGCATATCACAGGTTGTTTAAGAAACTCTCTGCTACAGAATGACAAGATTTCAGGTTACATTGTGTCATCCTCTGAAGTCCTCCTGGACAGAACAATCCACTAATTACTTACAACCAGTACTGGGATTGGGGATTTCTTTATATACGGAGACACCTTGTTTGTACTAAATTGTTCCTAGAGGAGAGGCTATACAACAGCGATTGCAGTGGAATGGGATGAACGACTCCAAACAAGCTTAAAAGGACATAAAAGTTGCAGCTGCAGACAATTACATTGATCCATTATAATCAAGTCATTGCTATTTCATTATCTTTGTATGTACTGTTACATTGAAATCTAGTAGATAAATGAAATTTGATTATCACAGTGGAATGAAATGTGCATAACCCTTTAATATATGAAGTGGTTACTGTAGTTCTTCACCAGATTTATGAAGGCTGGCCTAATGTCCAGTGGATGCTCGATTGAGTTTGCACTGAAGGATCAACCATATGCCAAGATAGTTTAATGCCTCCACGAGTGGGTTATTTGACAAGATTGTGAAATTCATGGGATAGAAAAGCATCAAATACATTGAGATTTGGATATAGTTAACTATGTCAACAATGTGAACATCAATTTTAGTATTTCAGCAGGTCCGAGTCAGGTGATAAGCCAACAAGATAGTTTAATCATAACCTGCCTCAGTTGATGTGAAACTTTTGATATTGCAGGATCATGTTGTTTAAAATTGCAGCAGTTATGATTAATTATCGTCCATATTAATCATTAATAAATATAGATGATTTATTGATTGAGATGACTTTGTATCTGTTAGTCAGTATTTCACAAGGCCTGAGACAAAGTTATCCACTTAATGAAATACAGATAGTTAAGGAGGTAAATTATAATTGATAACAGTTTAGTCATTTCACATGGAAGACTCTAAAATGACCTACTAAGTTCAACTTTTGACCAGGAACGGTATTATATTATACAAAAGCTAAATAAGAGGATCATGCTGCCCTCCCATTTCCACTGCAATTAGCATCAGCTAGGCCATCATGGCTGGATCAGGCACTCATGCAGGAAGCTACTTGGCATTATTCATATTACTTTGTTTTGCTATAAGAGATCTGGTAGCTACGAAGCACACTACTTGGCCCTCTTACAGTCTACTCATAATGATTACTTGACCTTCTTACAATTACGAATGCTAATGTAATGACTGGTTATTTTATTAGATTGGTACCATGGAATGCAACTAACTCAAGATTAAATAGCTAACCCTGGTGTGATATGATATGAATATAGATCTACAACCCATAAAGACCATTAATTAATAATGACCTTCTAATGACGATCCTTTTGCATTCAATCCGTCTCATTCGTAATAACCACTTCATATATTAAAGGGTTATGCAAATCTAAGAGTGTAGAGTGGGGAGAACGCACAAGTATGGATCTTTACCACCCTGCGGAGCAAGGCCTTAATCAAAACAAAATACATAATGAGGCTATTGAGTTGGATTAGTTGGTGGAGAAGGGACACTTCATAGACATCATACTATTGGGAATCTGTTGGGGGATTCAAATCCACTGTCATAAGCATAAAACTGCATATGCACATCAGAAATGAAATGCTTTGTTTCCTCTTGTCTCCCATAAGGTTCCTCTCATTGCCTATATAAACAAGTTCTAGATGACATAGAAGGTATTGCAAATTATCAGTAACCACCTCTCTCAAAAACATGACTGAAAACAAAACCAAGAAAATGGCAGTTGTTTCTGTCCATGCTCGCTCCAACAGTTTTCTGGCTGCAACTTCAATCAGATATCCATAGAAGCCAATGAAGTTTTGGAGGTGAAAGCAGAAGATACCTCAAGTACAGGAACACTGTGACCAAAACAATCCAGGTCTTCAAGGGTATGGATACCAAGAAATCCACTTTATCCAACAACTTTGAGACCGTCTCCATGTTGAAGGAAGCTGAATATGCTGTTATTGAGGTTTTGATGTGCTTGTTGACATTCAATTCTCAATATTCAAATCTGTAATTAAATCATCAAAATCAAACAAACTTTTACATGAATCATCTGTATACAAAATTTTGATACTCAAATCCACAAGTATACAGGGTCTTTACTCATCTCACTTGGGAGAAGCAGTTGTAATGCACTAGTGGATTGTCTGCATGATTTTTGAGGGACTGGTTATAATTACAACAACCCTATTATTTAATTCGAACTACATGTGTGATCTCACTCCCATCATCTTTAATTGTCCTTTCTATTACAACAGCCATCTGAGAAGTTCCCAAATTTCACAGTTTCTTGGCTTTGACCTTCACTATCTATATTGCACAGTACACGACCTTAGAGCTGCATTGACTTCAAGCGGCTGACCACTAGCAGGCCATTCAAAGTTGAAACAAAAGAGTTGAAAAGGTCAGGAGGAGCTCTCATCAACTAAGCAAATTCCCAGAATTCCTAAATTCCCAAACGCAACTAACCCAAAGGGAAGAACAAGCAAACCTGACCAAGTATCGCCGATGCTCGAGTTCATATCTTAAATAAGGACAAAATTAACGAGAGACTTACCTGGAACACGCTGCTAACCACTCCATCAACAACACTCTTGTCTCCACGGCGACCGACCACCACCTTAATCTTCGACGGAGCAGGGAGGAGACAGTGAGGGAGAGGAAGAACCTCAATTTTGGAGAGTGCGTCTGAGATCGAATCGATGACTGATGAGTCTGGAATTGAATTCTCTAGCCTGACAAGCCCACCTAATAAATTTTAGGACTTAAGAATTTTTTGGATCAAGTAAAGCTTGGTCCAAAATATGCTACAAGAATTTCTAAGATTACCAAGTTCATTTATAGTCCAACATCATTAGCTTATTACACAGTTATATTTAGGGTTAATTGCATGATTGGTCACTGAGATTACAAAAAACGTTCAAGTTTGGTCACTCGAAATATTTAAATCCATTGGTGGTACTTCACTCTACAAAAAACCGTTCACGTTTGGTCACTCTCCGTTAGCTGCCGTCTAATTTCCGTTAACAGAGTTTGTTAAGTGATGAGATGGCGGACGAAATCGTCTAATCAGGACTATTTAACCCGTAAATAGTTTGACCCGGCCCACCACGTCATTGAAACCCGCTGGCTCAATTAAACCTACCCAACCCTCTAACCAAACCAGACACGGCCCACCAACCTAACTACCCACCAAAACTAAATCTCTAAATCGAAGAAAAATCAACACCTTACCCTTCTCCATCTAGCGCCGCCTTCCTCCCTCCCGATTTTCTTCCTCTCCACCTCTGAGACGACGATTATGTTGCGCCAATCTCCTTTTTGAAGCTTCAATATGCAGCAGCAGGACTAGCCATCCCAGCACCATTTCTGAAGCAGACCTCTAAGATCCTATCAGATCTGTGCCGTTATGTTCCTCCCTCGCCCCTTTTTTTCTCCAACTCAATCCTCCGGTCAGATCCGCCGCTAGCCCCTCTGTTTCTTCATTTCAAACTCCTTTTCTCCATCAGACACCGCTCTGACTTTCATCCTTAGCTGGACGAAACCGCAACAGTACTCCGGGCTCCGAGAGGTGCCTGCCTTGAAACCCCGTCCTCCACCGCCGACGACTCCCGCATGCCCACCACCTCTTACTCCGCCTCCTCCCTCGCTACCCCCTTCTAAAAAAATCCCTCTAACTACTGCTTGCGGCCACCGTCGTTGTCTTCAGCTAAAATGACATTTTCCCTTCCCCGGGTGTTTGAAGCATGTTTTGCAGATCTTTTGGTGCACGGAGGCTCCAGATTTTGGAGCTTTTCGCCTTGTGACGCAGCAACCGTTTTCCTTCCTCTGCTTCTTCATACCGAATCAGTCGGCTAGATTGACAGGAGACTTTTAGTGATATTTTATCATATTTCGATTGGATTTGGATTGCTCATCTTGATCTCTATTTTCTTCAATTGCTATGCTTTGATGGGTATTATGTTCTATTAAGGGTGGTCTGATTCTTGTCTGATTCAGAGGTGGAGAGGAAGAAAAACGGGAGGGAGGAAGGCGACGCTGCATGGAGAAGGGGAAGGTGTTGATTTTTCTTCGATTTAGGATTTAAACTTGATGGGTAGTTGGGTTGGTGGGTCGGGTCTGGTTTGGTTAGAGGGTTGGGTAGGTTTAGATGAGCTGGCGGGTTTTTCTGATGTGGCAGGTCAGGTCAGACTATTTTCGGGTTAAATAGTGCTGATTAGACGATTTCGTCCGCCACGTCATCACTTAACGGACTCTGTTAACGGAGATGGACGGCAGCTAACGGAGAGTGACCAAACGTGAACGGTTTTGTAAAGTGAAGTATCACCAATGAATTTAAACATTTCAAGTGACCAAACTTGAACATTTTTTGTAATCTCGATGACCAACCATGCAATTAACCCCTCATATTTATTTTGATCATATTAGCTAATTACATAGTTATATTTATCTTAATTGTAAGCTACATTTCAGTGTTGATGTCCTGCGTTGAATTAGAAAAGACGGGAACTTTTAAAGCCATGAAAATGGAAGTAGACTGAACAAAGGATAGGTGTTTGTAGCTGAAGAAGCCGAGCTAGGGCCAGGGTTTTGGGTGGTAAAGGATGCTCTGAATCGCAGTTTGTGACCAATTTTTGAGGAGCTGATTGACTGCCGTACTCCGATTTCTAAAGTAAAGCAGCAAAAGGCAGATCAACGGTGATAAAATGGTGAAATATGGTTTGATTTCATCGTCTGTCAATTGGCTGAATGCTGCCTTCCGCATCCATTCACCGTAACGCACAGCGCTTGAAATTACAACATCAATTAAACCGCAAAAACAATCTTCTTCTTCTTCAGTGGGGATAGTAACCGAGAACAGAGTAGACGGTCTGCACCGCCGTCAGGGAAATCAGAATGAAAGCTCCCAGCAACGATATAATCGTCCACGGATTCGTGCAGTAATCCCTCTTCAGCGACGCCTTGTACCTGTTCCACCGCCGGTGATAATACTCGTTCACCTGCTCACACAACCCGGCGAAGTAGAAATCCCGCAGCACAATCTGCTTGCAGATGTTATTGAACATCGCCGCCACGTCATCCCTCCCCCCGAGATCGTTGGCCACGATCCGCCGCCGCTCCAGCACCTCCACGTCCTTGGCCGTGTCGATCAGCCGGTCCATCAGCAGCACGTACGACGTGATGTACTGCGAGCTCTCCTGGAAGCACTGCTCGAACGCGATGAAGTTCCTGAACAGCGCGTCCGTCGAGTCGTGGACCCGCAGCGGCGGGATCCGGAACACCCCGTTCCTGAACTCCAGGTCGAACAGAGACTTGGTATCGTCCTTCTCGAACCAGATCCCGGCCTCCTTGAGCGCCGCCGCGCAGTGGATGAACTCGATGTTGTTGCTGTTCCTCTTCCCCTTGGTTTCGATTCGAGGGGAGGAAGGGAAGTAGCAGTTGTGGATCAGGTGGAGGAGGTGGTGGCTGTTCTGCCGGCCGCCGGCGCCTAGGGTTTCCTCGTTGACGTTGTTGATCGAGGACCGGAAGAATCGGAGAGCCAGATCCGGTAATGACGGGGTGGCGAGGCCGTTGGCGGTTCGGCGGACCGTGAAATTGAAGAGCCACTCGAGGACGAAGAAGGGGATCTGGTTCTCGAGCAGCGCCAGGTCGCGCTGGAGGGTGAGAATCATCCAGGAAGTGGTGAAGATGGGGTCGCTCTGGAGCTTGGGGTCCGGATTGGAGTAGCGGAGGAGGAGCTCGAGGATGAAGCAGCCGTCGAGGAGCATCATCTTGGCGAGGTCGGTGTTGCTGTAGTTGATCCACTCGGCGTAGGAGGCGCGGACGTCGTTGTCGAAGCGGAGGATGGCCTTGCCGCAGGCGTCGAGCGTGGCGACGGCGTTCTGGGTGCGCTCGAGGAGGGAGAGCATGTACCGCCATTTGTGAGCCTCCATGCCCTTCAGGCTCCGCTCCTCGTGGTGGATGGGACCGACGGAGATGATGTGGGGAGTGTAGGCGTCTTTGTTGGTGTTGCGGAGCTTCGTCGGGACTCTGCAGATCGTCCAGCTGGAGGAGAGCGGGGAGAGCTCGGCGAGCTCGATTTTGATCGACTCCAGCCAGTGGGTGTCGGCCGATTGGATCGAGCTGGGTTCCTCCATGGAATCGAACTGAAGCAGAATCAAAATCAATGAATTTCGTCTATTACACAACTCAATCACTGCAAAAAAATGAATCAGTTGACCAAGAAAGTGAGAACTAAGAACACAGCTTGCTTAGCTAACTTACCAATCCGAAACGAATGGTGTGCTGATGCATGCGATTAACAGCTTGGTTTTCTGAATGAATTTCCTTGAGCTACTATGGCCGCCAAGTGGGCAATAATTGAGTCGAGAGCTGCTGGGAAAAGAGTGGAAGAAGAAGAAGACTCTGCTCTTGTGGACGAAACTATCCCTTTTCTTTCTCTGCAAAACAGTGCTAAACTAGCTTTACCAAAATGGCCCCATCATTAGCAAATTACTAAAACACCTCTTGCTGTAGCCTGTAGTTGTTGAGTTAGTATTGACATAATGACCGTTTCAACGCCACACCAGATGGAAAATTTTGACCACAATTTATACAGTGAGTCCACCCAACTCCATAGAGGAGGAAGGATTGGGGATACAGTAAACTACAAAAGCCCATCAGCAGCCCTCATAAAGTTTGAGATACTTTTTTTGTAAAAAAAAAAAAAAGTTTGAGATACTTTTTCTGATTAGATGAGGGATTAGTGGCGAACTTGACTCCTATTCCTTTCCTATATATAGTATTATTACAAAGGAGCCCCTCAATTATTATTTTTTAGCAACTAAGCTCTTCTGTTACTATATTCTTACAAATCAGCACATGTCCTTCATTTTGTTGAGTTGCTGTAAAAAAAAAGATGAGTCAGCATGCTTACCCAACTCTGAACTCTGAAGGGTGACACCACACATTACACAACCATGAATACCACTTGTTGGTGGATCGAGCGCGAGATTTTTCTTTCTCTTTGAATGGAAACCCTAATTTGGTCTTCTGTAAAACGAATTGGGAATGAGCAAGGTCTAACACGACAGATCGAAATATAGTAGTGTTAAGAAAAAGAAATAAACAGAATGAAACGGCAAATGGGCCCAAATCAAAGGTCTAGAAAGATGGGCTTGAAATATGCGACAAGCCCGTTGTTCAGCTCGTTGACTGCTCCTTGTCTCTTTGATCAAACGGATTCTTAACCAAACCTGTTCTTGAGCAGACTTCCCTGTTCGACTGAGAAACCTGCAAAACAGAGCATCCAACAGCAAGAACCAAACTTTAACCAAAAGCAATCAACACAACGAGAACCCGAGTTTTTACGTGGTATCCGGTACTATTTGATTTAGTACCGACTAATCCACGGCCGAAGGTTCTCAAACGAGACCTCCGACGTTCCACTATGAGCTTTACAACCAATCACTGTTACACTCAATCTCCAGGCAACTCTCCGTCACCGATCAGACTCAGAATTGGCTCTCTCCCTGAAAACCTAACCAAGAATACTCGCTATTCTACCAGCAATTTCCCCAACTGCTACTGACTTCTCCTTTTCACCCTATCTCACAACCCCTGTTTCTCTCTTTCTCGATTGCACAGACAGAGTCTCGAAAAGTGTCCTCTGCTGGTGAGATTACAATTGTATTAATACTCTCATTCTGTCTACCGTTGTCCATGATCTTCTTTTGATTAGTCCGATCTTTCCTTTCTTGATTTTACCATATACTTTCCTTGTCAGGATGTATTCAACCGTTGCTCAAGACTTTCCTTCTTCAGGAATGATTCACAGTTGGCATTACCGAGCCTTGACAAGCTTCTCACAACACCACTTTCTTTTTTCGTTGAATAACACAACACCACTTTCCATGATGAAAGCATGGGATAATAATACCAAATAAGTAAGGCCATAAAATGGTAAAAATACGCATAAATCAATAAGATTGTTGAACAATGACTAAAGATTGTTCATGATGGCAAGGAACGGATCATTTTACGATTTTGAATAGTTGAGTTATAATTTATAATTGGAGTTAGAACCATAACCAACTACTCAATTATCTACTTACAAAAATAACAATGAAACGATAAATCAAAAGTTACGACTTGCTCAAAATATACCGGGACAGGGTAAATTTCAGAGGAACAAAAATACTTTCATATATATTTTATTGGTGATGGAACACAACACCTATAGGTAGTGTTAGTGTATTTTGTCACGACACAACTCATTACTTGTTCAAAAATTGACATAAAATTAATTTATTATATTATAAATGAAATTTCAATTGCAATAAAGACCTAATCTAATCTCTTTTCTCCTTATGCCTTTTCGATCTTTTCCCCAAATAACCTTGAAATTGTCTAGCGACAGCGACAATTCCACTAGTTTGATTCTACCAACTACAACTACAAGTGTAAAAAGAGCATTTTCAGTTTTGAGATATATTAAGAACAAGTTTCCAAGTCAATTTGGCAACTAGTTTGCAGTTTGATAATGCTTGTTTAGTAAAATACATTGAAAGAGACTTATTCAATAGTGTAGACAACACATATTTTTGAGTTTCTTTCACAATGTGAAATCTTTTCGTGGTTGTTTATGAAAACAATGATTGTATAGTCAGTTATTTTTAATCTATGAATTATTTTGATATATTAATTTTAATTAATTTTATTAAATTATTCTTAATTAAATACTTATATATTTACATTATAAAAAGAGTACATGAATAGTTTGAAATACTGCCTCCGCTACTAGATGTCAAAGAATTACTTGAACGTTAAACGGATGAGTCACCACTTCGGCTTGAGCCCAACTGATCATTCATCTACTTATCGGATGTCTCCGAACTCCGAAGGGACGAGTATTCATCTACTTGACACAAATGAAACCTAACAGAAGGGTTCAATTGTAATAAAAAGGTTTGGGGCCTATTTGTTAGAAAATAAAATGGTATAGGAGCCAATTATATTATGTAAATTGCGTCCAACTTCCCATAAGGTTGCCGAGTAATTAACTGCAGAGTTGGTCAACTATTGATCATTCTGATATTTGCGGATTGGTCTGCTGCTTCTTCGCACCTGCTCCTGTGACCTGTCTGTCTTGTGTGAAATTGGAAATAATATTACAAAATAATGGTAAATACAATATAAGCCAAAAATAATAAATAAATATAAATTGCATTTCCTCTGCTTGATTTGTGATAAAAATTGAACGAAAAGTCAATATAAACCATTAAAAATCTAGCTATAAATTGATGGGATATCCTTCTTCCGTTCCGTGACGGACTTTGTTTCTCCAACCAGTTTCCGCTCTTAATCTTAAGCCAGAAAAGCAGCACGAAGAAAAAAAGTCGTCGTCGGACCGGCGGGGAGCGGCGGAGGAGGGTGGAGCATTCATGAGACTAGACGAGAACATAAACCAGTTCAGCAGACACAGCACCGGCGCCAAAGGAGATCGGGGAAGAATAGAGCAAAGAGAGGAATCTCAGAGCCTCCACCGCGGCAGGAGCGCGTCTCTAGATCCCCACCACGCCGCCGCAGACGACCCCCCTCCTTTCATCGACGACATCGATTCGGTCTCCTCCTTCCCTCCGCTGGTCGACGGCTCCCCTGACCCGCAGCAGCAGTCGGCGCCGTTCGTCAACTCCTTCAGCCAATTCAAACGGTGGCCCTGCCACGTCCCCTCGCCGCCGCCGCCGCATCCACTGCACAAATCGGTATCCACGCCTGTTTTGTTCGAGCCGCAGACGGATGCGCGGTCGAATCGGGGTGCGGCGGATCTCAATCTCAACGAGATTCGGATTTCCGACAGTGAGAAACTGGTTGCGGCGGCGGCTGCCAATTTGGGATTTACAAATAGCTTTACGAAGGATCGGATGCTGAAGATGGGGAATCCAGCCTCGCCGTCGCCATCTCCATCGCCTTCCCCTTCGCCGCATGTGAACCCCTTTCGGACGACATCCAATTCGTCGGAGGAGTCTACTCCGAAGCCGAAGCCGACGACGCACGTGGTGGTCGGAGGTATTACTTGCCCGATGGTCCGGAAGCTGTCGCTGGTGCGGCATCGGAACTGCTCAATGAACGGGAAGATTAGCTTCATAAAGACATGATCGGATTAGACGATTTTTTTAAGCTATCCGACCGCCGTAGACCAGGCCGATGAGCAGCGGCGGATCCACAGGATATAAGAGAGCGGTGGGTAGCATTTGAATAAAATATTATATACTATAAACAAAAATATATAATAATATAGTTTTCATTTAAATGTCAATGGTACAAGAAAGTCTTTTAATTTAGCAAATTCATCAATAATCTAATTTCCATTCATAATTATAATATACTCGTTTCAAAGAAAATAGCTAAGTAATCCACGTGAAATTCATCGCTCATTTTGTTGCACAAATCAATGTTCATGTTCCATTGCTGAAAATATTCTCTCTATGGTAGTTGTTGAAACGGTTAGGTCAACACTAAACAAATCAAACGAGAAATCAATTTGTATTATGTGTACATCCATGTTTCCTCCAGCTTAGGGCTGGGAATCCAGACCAAATCGTATGGAGAACCGCGGTCTAGACCGTATCGTATGGTTTGGTCTGGACCGTGAGACCAGAACTATGGTCTGTTCTGGTTTGTGGTCTCCTCCTTTAGTGCGTGGTCTGACGTGGTCTGGACCGCGGTCTACCGCAGTAAACCGTAACAGACCGCGACACACTACCTACTATCTTGGACAAAAATAACACTAAATTGAACCTCCATATGTGTATTTGAAGAACAAAGTTAGTTGATTCTTCATCTAGTTGAGAGCCAACAAATTGCAAAATGATCGCTTATATGTTATCTCCTTATCAAAGTACCACACAAAAATTAGAAAGACTCATAAATAATATTCACATATAATGTCTAGACTATGGAGTCGATAAAAATTGAACACTACAAAAAAATCCGTTCACCTTGATGAGATAAGGATAATTATTGAGAGATATGCGACCATCTTAGTGGTTCAAAATTACCTCGACGTCATCAAAAAGGTTATCAACTGGGAGAACCTTCGGATCACTCGAGAGAGGAGAGAAACGGTAGCACAAAGAGGAATAGGAAAATAAGGCTATTTGAAAATTGAAAAAACGCACTTCTATCCTCATATTTCTTCTCATTTAATACGGTCACAATTTTTTTGTTTCACTAGCATATTCATCACTAGATTTTTTTATAGATACCGGCGAAAGGTTGGAGGGCTAACAAGAGTTAATTTTTTTTAACATGGTCTGTCTGGTCCAGACCATACCGGACCGTATAGTATATGGTCTGGTCCATGGTCTGTGTTCCAACCTCTCGGTCTGGACCACAGACCGTATCTATGGTCTGGTCTGGACCGGACCGCACCGTTTCCCACCCCTACTCCAGCTTCTCTAATAATTTTGCAAGAGAAAAACTTCATCTTCTTCACATGAGTAGTGCATTCTCCAAAGAATGCATCTCATAGCATTCAAAGTCTCGAGGCTAAACTCTTGAGCAAGTTTGTAAATATTTTCTTCATCAAAACACTAAAAAGAACAGTTAGAATCTAGTGCCCCACTCAATTGAGGCAATCTAAATGATGACTCATGAAGTTTGTAAATATTTTCTTAATCAAAATAATGGAAAGAAAACCATATCGACGGGTTGGCGGAGAAATCCATTTTGGGTATGCTCGTCTCCTCGTTCTTGTTTTGTTTTGGGGGGATTGGGAAATTTTTTGATTTTCAAGGAAGGGTGTGCTTTAGTTTAGAGTTTTTATTTTTTATTTTAATGAAACTTACACTTTTAGGTTTTCATGTCTTTTTTCAAATAAGGGTTTAGGGTTTAGAAAATTTAGTATACATTTAGAGTAATGGTTTGGATATGTTCATCTGGACCATTTTTCTAGTTACACAAAATCCTATTATCAAATAAAACTAGACAGGAATTTAAATAGCATTGGGCCAAATACCTAAATCAAAAAATTTTATAAGCACTAAACTAACTCTGGATCCGAAAGAGGGCTGGGCCGGGGCTGGCCCAGCCCTGGATCCGCCACGGCCGATGAGCGGGGTCTGTGCGTCGATTTTTATTTCGTTCCTTTATTGGATTATTATATTATTGCTTAATATGGTTCTTATTTTGGAGCATTTTAACTCAGAAAGAGATCGAAACTATGTCCAGAGTATTCGATAATTGGGTTTTGCTCCCAACGGGGATAGGGTTCAACTTCGACTTGCTAGTTAAACTTCAAACATAAATGGATAAGGTGTTGGACAAGAAGAAATGTCATGATATCAAAAATATTGAGAGAAATGCTAAATTCAAGGAATGAAATACAATATGTTTCTGCCAACGCGTAAATACTCAAATGCATCGTAATATGTTGATGGAAATACTAGTAACATCCTAAGAACTATTTTCCTTAACATGAAGCTTCTTAAATAATTTTACCACACACGTTAAATTTAAAAGTGTGGAACTGGTCTGACCAAAATGCGCTAAGTTGAGAGAAGTTTTGGTTGAACATTGACTCTTGACTAGATAGGCAGGTGGGCCATATAATGGCTTAAAGTAGGGATGGCAACAAAATCCGAACCCATGGGTACTCACCCGATCCAACCCGGTCAACGCGGGTAAAATCCGTGTTGACGGGTTTTGGGTCGGGTTTGGGTTTAAACTCGTTCACTATTCATCGGGTTGGGTTGGGTTTGGGTTTAGGTAAACCCGACCATGAGTACCCGCCCACACCCATATAATTAATTTTCTCGGTATATTTAATATTCGAAACAACTAATCTTATTTATGTTTGTCGAGACATGTCTAATTTTTTCTTTTTAATTGTGTAGAATGAAGTTGATGTTATCTAGTAGAGAGTGAAGAAACTTAATTGAAAGGAAGAAGCTTTCAATTAATCATGTTATTTGTAGATAATTTGTGATTTGCTTCAATTTTCTTGAGTTTTCTAGATTGGTGTTGATTAATTTGTATAGTTAATTTGTAATTTGCTTGAATTTTCTAGAATGGTGTTTTATATATGGATATTTTGTATTGAGAGATTGATATTTGACTTTAATTTTGATAGGAACTTGTTATTGTAAATTTTTTACGACAAAAACCCGTGGGTACCCATGAACCCGCGGATACCCAGCAGGTTGGGTTGGGTTTGAGTTTTTCAAACCCAGTGGGTTTTACCCCGGGTTTTTTTCACGGATAAACACATGAGTTTGGATTTGGATTTGGCAAAACCCCACCCAACCCGACTCATTGCCATCCCTAGCTTAAAGTCGCTTTCTCGTGTCAACCCTCAAAACTAATAAATATCAACTTTCACTAGGCTAAATTACAAGTTTGGTCACTCGAATTATACAAATCTTTCATGTTTGCCATCTTAATTACTTTTCTTTCTTATTTACCACTAACTTTACGAATCATTTCACCGTTAGTCACCGACCGTTACAGTCTGTTAAATTTGTCCTATATGGCAGTCAACTATAAATTTTGACCGTTAACTAGAGGACGTGGATATTAAAAAAAAATTATTTGTCCACCTCATTATTCCACTTACTTTATGTATATGACTTTATCATATTACCTAATTAATAAAATTTAAAAAAATAAATAATATGATTGATTTATTCTCCAATAGTCAAGATCCGACGGACGAGATTGTCGTTGTACGCAGCCGCGTTCGCCACGCTGGCGCCGATCTCGCTCCGGTCGCCCTTCGACGGCCATCTCGTCTCCGAAACCACCATCTCGATGTCGTCAAGCTTTAGCGCCGACATTGCCGCAAACACGGTGTCGATCTGGGAATCGAAGAAGCTGAAGTACCTCAACCCGCTGCCGGCTTCGACGATGCCGGGATTCTCCCGGAATAGAGCGTATGTATTCCAGCTAGATGACGTCGAAGTTTGCTTCGTAAGCGAAGAATGGGTAAGCATTCACCATCAGGTACGAGCCGGTCTCGCGGAGCCACTCCAGTCTCCAGCATTGGGCGAAAAACCGGCTCGATGAGCTCCTGCTGAAACGACTTCGCTTAATATATAATGTAATATTGTGCACTACATAATATATGGAATCATAAAAAAAACTCCACTCAACCAACTTTTCAGTTTAATTCACACAACCTCTTCCAATCTTGTTTCATTTTTCTTTCTGAAACCATACTACTCAAAACCTTGTCCTTTAATTTCCTCCTAATTATTGGGACCAACTGGTTTATGACATGGTATCAGAGCTGATTTTACCAATTGGTCGTGTGTTCGAATCTCCACGACCCCCCAATATTAACAGTTGTCTTCAAGCACATGGTATGGCGGGCCTGTGCAAACTTCAAGCCCATGAGTCGGCTTTCGTTTGAGGGGACGTGTTAGTGTTGTGGTATATGATCCACAATTGAACCTCTCCCAACAACTCGAGTTATTGGGATCAACTGGTTCTTGACATGGCATCAGCGCCTTCTGTGACCGAGAGGTCTTGTGTTCGATTCCCGGTGACCCCCATTTTTTAAGCACATGGTATTATGATCATTTGAACTTGGACTGGAGCTAAGTGATGACATTGTTATCGGCTTGAAGGGCCTTGGCCACAACTTTGACGGGGATTTTGGGGTTGGAGCCGAGAACCACGGTTAGCAGCGGCTGGGTCCCAGGGTTCTCGCTATTGAGCGCGACGATGACGAAGGCAGGTCCCTTGCCGACGTTCCTCTAGAAGTGGGTGAGCACTTGGGGGAAGACGAAGGCCTCGCCTGGGGGAAGAAAGGAGACGGAGGCGTCATGGCTCTTTATTTTTTCGGAATAAATTAATCATATTATTTATTTATATTTTTGTAATTTAATAAATAATCATATTATTTATTTTGGTAATTCAAGTTGAGAATAAATCAATCATATTATTTATTTTTATAATTTAATTAATTCTTGTAAAATAGGTAATATGATAAATTATATACACTAAAATAATTTAGTAAATGTAGTGACCTAACTTGTAATTTACCTAAAAAATTACAACGGTCACTAGTTAAGTTATGGGGTATGGTTATGGTGACATTCAAGTCACCGTGTTTTGGAGAAAACAATCGATCACTTTTATAGTGGTAGAGACAGGAATTGAAACTATTTGTGTTCTCTTTATAGATTATAAATATATAATTATTTAATTTATATTAAAATTAATAACATCCAAATAATTCATTTATAAATAAAGATATAACTGAATAATACAGTCATTATTTTCAAATACAACCACGATGGGTTTTCCTATTGTAAAAGAAATTGAAAATACATTCATTTTCTACACTAATAAGTCGGTCCCTTTCAATGTATCCGAAGAGTAAAATCATACTTGATCACCGACAAGGAAAGGGAGAGCTAAAACCAGTGGAATCGATGTTGGACTACTTTAGGGGTGCTGGGCAAAAGATCGAACATGCCTAAGGAGAAAAGAGATATGAATAGGTGAGTGTCGAAAGAGATTTTCTCGAGACAAACGACAAGCCGCTCGTGAGTAGGTTGGCTCATTTGCAGCCAATGCAGTCAAAAGCGCGATTCCGCGTAGAACCATTTTGGTGATCTAGAAGCGTAAAATCGTAAGCATTTAAGCGCAGATTTTGACTAGACTTGTAAGTGAAAATCATGATTCTGCGTAGAAGCACTACAACAAAAAACAGATTTTGTAACGACACGAATTGTCACCAAATGTTTATGTGAGTGTGGTTAACCGAGTGTAAGTACGGTTAACCGAGTTTATTAAAAATGAAATTGTGATAAGTTTTTGGTCTATTAAAACCGATAACCGAATGGTAGGATTGCCTGAGAAGGCAAAAAAGATCTGATCCTGGAAAATATCCGATTGAGCCCCCTGTGATGAAAAAATTATGTCACATAAACTGGTGGTTATGCGGCGGACCTGGTCCGTCATGTCAGTCGCTGTTCGGTAGTTATTAGAGGGTCGCTTGGCTAACCGAAAACTGACCCTTTGGTTTTTTCTTAAACCGAAACCGACCAAAATCCACGTCACCTATAAACCGTTACAAAATGAATTGGTGTTTCACTTCGTCACATAAGAATGGACTTCAGGTGACGACAATTTTCATTACGTAAAGAAGAGTATTTGCAACGTGAATATCTCGTCACATAAAAGTTACTTTGTGTGACGAAATAATTTGTTATATATTTGACTTTGGTGACGGGTTTCAGCCGTCACTAAAAGGTGAATTAGAATGTGACTTCTAATAACAATTTCTGTTTCGGCAAGCACCTAGGTGAAGCACAAGAAAAGTCGAACTAGTATCTAATATTCTTCACCATTAATTTAAACATAGAAGTGTTTATACAAGATGAACACGAAGCAAATTAAAAAAAAAAAAACAATATGCTCCATGGTTGTTATTTAATGTCAATGACAAGTAAATTCATGTGTGTTCAAACACTTCTATAACTAGGAAACAAAAATAAGACCACAAGACAGTTTACATTACGGAAGATCGCATCATCGTTACTTCTACCCTGAGGCACTCCCTTGACTGCATATCGATAACCCTGAATGCATAATGATTAATGAAATATATATTGAGCTTAAGTATTAAGAGTGGACAAAGCATATCTTGAGGTACGTTGAGACCGAAATCAACAAAATAATGATTATGCAGGGCCGTCCCATGATACTCGGAAGCCCTGTTCGACAATCTAAAATGTGGCCTCAAAAATTTTTCTTGAAAATTTAATAATTTTCGAATCGCCGTCAAGATTGGCTACTAGTATCCAAACTCCTCAATTCTCTGTTTTTGTATACGCTGAGAACTACCTTTTTCATATTTTTGGATTGACATAATTAAAAATATAATCAAAGATTAATTATTTCAAATTTCCAATCAATATTAAGTTCCCTGCAAAAGAAAAAAAAATTTAGAACTTAAAACAAGTTGGTTAGAAACCTGGATAGTAGGGATGGACATCGATCAGGAGTTAATTAGAATGGGGTGTGAATAATTAATATTTAAGCTTTGGATGATTTGGGGTGGGGAAAGAGAAGAAGTAAGACGTTTAAATACTCTAATGGTTAGTAAAAATTCAATAAATGACTCTCAGTTTAGTGACTGAATCGCCTTTTTAATGAAAAAGAGGTTCAAGGTTCGATTCTCTTCCCTATCAGTTGTCATCCTTGTATATTTGATTTAACCCTTCCGTGTCAGTTGCCATCCTTGTACATTTGATTTTTGTGTGGGCTTTGCCAGCCCAAGGAGGCCCAGGTTGGCTCCGGCGAGACTAATGGAATAGAGGCCCATAAAACTTGAGGCACAACAGACTTGTGGATTATGAGGCTCCATTCTGGCTTATGGATTAGAGGCCCCATAAAACTTGAGGCCCTGTGCTGTGGGTCTGACCAGCACAGGGCCTGGGCCGGGCCTGTGACTATGATATACAGAAATTGGCTAGCAAATAGTAAAAGTATCTATCTTGTTTAATAGTACTCAAATCATACATTAAAATGAAGTGAAGAGAATAATCACTTTCACTACAAGATTGATGGCCAAAAGAGATCCAGGGAAGCTTATTTTGTTCACAAACAGAGACAAACTATACCTAAAGAAGGGCACAGGGTTCACACCTCTAACGTAACGGAGTAGTCGAGAGAAAACACAGGCATCTCCTTGACACAGCCTGGGCGCTTATGTTTCGCGCGAATCTACCGTTGAAATTCTGGGGGGAATCAGTGCTCACAGCTACTTATTTGATAAATCGACTGCCTTCCAAGGTTCTTGGAAATCGCACCCCCTACGAAGTGCTCTTGGGCAAGGTTCCAACCTATGATCATCTTCGTGTTTTCGGGTGCTTGGCCTATGGAAAGGACACACACAAGAACCTTCCAAAATTTGCAGAACGTGGACATCCATCTATTTTTGTTGGGTACCCAGCAAGTCAGAAGGGTTATCGGCTGTGGGACTTGGAGGCCCGAAGGTTTTACGTCAGCCGTGATGTTATTTTCATGGAAAATATATTTCCTTGTCATGCAGGTTCAGGGGACTTCTCCCAGCTCTTGGCGCATTGCCCCCCTTCACCTGCTGCTGTTGCTCCCGAAACCGAAGAAGTGCAGGCACCCTCGCCAGCTAATACTCCAGTCGAGGATGTTCGGGAAGCAGGAGATGTTGGCAACACCGCCTCTGAAACCACTTTACCCTCGAGTGAGAACTCGGTCGCTGACCCGGGTACATCGGATTTTCCTCCCTCAAACCCGCCGGTGCGGCGCAGCTTGCGAACTCGCACAGTTCCTAAGCATTTGGATGTTTACGAGGCCGAGCTGCCGCCATCCAACATTCCTTACCCCATCGAAGATCACGTGGGATATCATGCTGTCTCCCACCCTCACCGAGCCTTCTTGTCAGCTGTGGCTCGGACCCCTGAGCCAAATTACTTCCATCAAGCCATTCGTCACATCGAGTGGAGGGAAGCTATGAAACGTGAGATTAAAGCACTGGAAGAAAATCACACTTGGACACTTGTTCCACTGCCGCCAGGGAAGAGAGCCATTACACCAAAATGGGTATACAAGATCAAGTATCATCCCGACGGCAGCATCGAGCGATACAAGGCCAGGCTCGTTGCAAAGGGGTTCGCGCAGGTTGAGGGGGTGGATGATCATGACACGTATGCTCCGGTTGCCAAGCTGGTTAGCGTACGTACTCTTCTCTTAGTAGCTGCAGTTCGTGGCTGGGCTGTGGACCAGCTGGACGTCAACAACGCCTTTTTGCATGGGGACCTCGACGAAGAAGTCTACATGAAGATCCCTGATGGCTTTGCAACCCCTGGTGACACTCGTGTATGTCGTCTCCACAAGTCCTTGTACGGATTGAAGCAAGCCTCTCGTAACTGGTATGCTAAGTTCACTTCGACTCTGTTGGGTCTCGGTTTTACGCGTTCATGGGCAGATTACTCTTTGTTTGTTCGGAAAACGGCTACCAGTTTTGTTACAGCTTTAATATACGTTGATGACGTCATTCTTGCCGGTGATGATCGTGCGTTTATGGAGCATGTTAAGTCCACTTTGGATGATCGGTTCGGAATCAAGAACTTGGGGCTGCTCAAGTACTTCTTGGGCATTGAAGTTGCTCGCTCACAGAAGGGTATAGTGCTCAGTCAGCGCAAATATACTCTTGATCTCCTTCAGGATGCAGGGCTTACGGGGGGCGCCCTGCTTCCGTTCCAGTTGAGCAAAATCACCCTCTCACTCATCCGGCTACCGATGATGTAGTCGAGGAAGTCGATAGATCCGCCTATCATCGGCTCGTTGGTCGGTTACAATGCATTCACCGACTTCTGCGCACGCAGCTGCTGCAGATCGTGTCCTACGCTACTTGAAGAATGCACCGGGCCAGGGGATTTTACTCCCTTCTCATGGGACTCTCGAGTTAACTGCCTACTGCGACGCTGATTGGGTAGGTTGTCAGACGACATGCAGGTCTACCTCTGGGTATTTTATTATGTTGGGTAATGCCCCTGTTTCCTGGCGTACCAAGAAACAGACTGTTGTGGCTCGTTCCTCAGCCGAGGCCGAGTATCGTTCTATGGCCAGTGATGTCAGTGAGGTTCTTTGGCTTCGAGCTCTTCTTCGTGACTTGGGGGTTACTCAGTCTACTCCCACTGTTCTCCACTGTGACAACAAGGCAGCACTGCACATAGCGTCTAATCCTATGTTTCACGAGCGGACTAAGCACGTTGAACTTGACTGCTACTTTGTTCGAGATCATGTTACCAGCCGCACCATTCTTCCTACGAAGATTGCTTCTCACGACCAGG